ATTTAGTGGGTCTTCACTCGACCCCCACGACATCAACCCCCAGTGGATCCACCGCAGCAAACAGAGCCTCCCAACCGTGCTGCCCCATCCACATGGCACGACTTAGACCCGAGTGGGAAATTCAGCTCCTGTGGGGTGTGTCACCCTCATCCGCTGAAGATGCTCCCCGAGTCTCCAGGGATTCCTGCCCTAACTGCTCTCCAGCCGGTTTGTGTCCATACGCTCCCCGCGGGGAGGCTGTGAGTGGCCTGGTTACAAGCGCTGGTTGCTCAGGCCTGGCAGGGAAGGGAAGCTCCGGGCAGCATTGACAGTCTGGAGATCCCTCCGGGGAAGCACAGGCGGTGGGTGGAACAGGCGGGGAGGCCAAGCTGCGGGGTCCTGCGGACGCCCTGAAACCAGCTCACAGACCCCCGGGGGTCACGCTGCCCTACACGCTGTTGCAGTAATGTTTGTACAAGGCGTGACGCTGAAAGAGCAGCTTGTGTCAGAGTGTATTCAGGCCAATGGATGTGTGTGTTAGTAGAGATCAAAGCGACTGTTAAATGTTCAAATGTATTGGGTGTTTAAACCTCCTGAAAACTCGTGGAATGTTGTTTGCACTGTTTTCACTTCTCTGTGTCCTGTTACGCTGTGATAGCAAAGAGTTGCCTTGTGTAGACCCCTGTCACTAAATAACCCCTCAAAGGAGAATGAAGGTGTGTGGGATGCAAGTGAAGAAAAGGTTCATTTCCAAAGAAGGGGTGGTAAGAAGCAGGATTCCTGGGCGGGGGGCAGGAGGGTGTGGTTTGCACTGTTGTTGCCCAGGGTGGGAATGGGGAACTGGGCTCTGGCTTAAAGCGGTGTCAGGCTTCGGGGGGCTGGGTTCAGAGCTGGAGGTTCGGGTTGGGGTGAGGGTTGGGCTACAGTTTTGGTTCAGGGGTTTCGAGTTGGGGGGCAGGTTATGGGGTCAGGGTTCCAGTTGGGTTCCGGGTAGGGGGTGGGGTTTAGATTTTGGGGGGAGGGTTTGGCCAGCAGCAGCATAGAAGTGCGGGTGGCAATGGGGTGCAGCCAATAGTGATAAGTCGGGGGTCTTTTAGGTCGTTTTAGTGTCAGTAGCACCCTGGGGAGGGGGTAGGGTCATGTTTACGACAGGGGGCTAAAGTGTTGGGGAAGGGGGCGGCAAGTTGACCCATCCCACTTCGCACTTCCCACACGGACACGCACAATACGTCGAACGCGCGGACGCACACACGTCACACACACACGATGACACAAAACGGCACACAGCACGACACACAAAAATAACACACCACACAGACACACACACAAGACGACATGGAAAGCGTCACACACAAAACATCACCCCCCCAAACATCACACACTCAACACAACATGACCCACAACATGTCACACACTCAACACAACACGACCGACCCCAACATGTCACACTCACACACTCAACACGACACACAACACGTCTCACACTCAACACGACCCACACCCACAACACGTCTCACACACACTGAATGACACACAGCACGTTGCCACGTCACACACACACAAAGCACACAGTTTGTTGCATGTCTCACGTATCATGTCACGCAGATGTCACACTACGCACATGCACACGCACAACACGTCACACGCCCACACACTAAGAACACATGACGCACACCACATGACACATGACACAAAATGGCACACATGACATTGAGACACACACACACGACACTGACACGTTGCACGTGGACACACACAGCACGTCGCACACACACTGAATGCACACACAGCACGTTGTTGCACGACACGTCACACACAACACACAGAGTCGCACACAGTTTGCTTGCATGTCGCACGTAACTCATGTCACGCGCAACACGACACACAACCCGTCACACACACAAAAATCACACACAACACTGACACACAACACGTCACACACCAACAAAACCCTCAAGAAAACACACACACAACCACGTCTCACACACACACAATACCACATGACACACAACGCCTCACACACAGAAACACGTCTCTCACACACGCCGACACACACACGCACGGCACACGACGGCTCTCATACGTGCCGACACACACTCACGCGCTCGCGCACGGGACACGACATCTCTCACACACGCCAAGAAACAAACACACACCACACACACACCCCCACACACGACACGACACACGACGTCTCACACACGACACACGACAGAGACACACAGACAAAAGACACGTCACGTCACACGACACACAAGACGGCAGACAACACGACACCGAAATCACACGCGACACCAACACGCGACACACACACAAGACGGCAGAGGACAAGACGGCTGAGCTGCTTGGGCCTCTTTCCAAGGCTTGGTTTTTCTCAGCTCAGGGCCCTGATTTATCTGGTGCTCTGGGTAGTTCCCCTGATCACACTTCCTCAGGCTCTTCCTTGAGAGGAGATTTATCATGGGAATTACGCGGAGAGGAATGATCCTGGGGAAGTCAGTGCCGAGCCTCCCAAATCTGCACCTTTGTCTTTCTTTAATGAACAGATGGAAGATCAAAGCATTGTATTCAATCCTTGAAGTGTCCATCCCATTTCTGTGCACACTGGACTTGAAAAGTTGTCCTTCTTCATCTGTACACCACACGTGTCCATTTTAAATCCAAAGATGCATAATGAGCCATGGGCTACTTCCCTATGACACAGAGGGTCACAAACATGGTAGTGAAGAGGACAGATTACTAAGTAATCCCAGTGGGTTTCAGCCCCGTAGGATCACCTGGAAGGATTTTTCCTTCCTTTCAAAAGGGCAGAACCCAAACCCCATTCAGAAGATGCAGGGAATCTTACAGTAAATTCTTCCCACATGGTCCCCTTTGTAAAGCCAGTCTGTCAGAGCTTGCCTTAGCACAAGAAAATAACGCCAGGCAGTGGTAAGCACACAAACAAGACTTTATTTACGAGAGGGAAAAGGACTAGGCTAGGCTAGAGAAGGGGTGGATTAACAAAACTTGAACTCTGGAAGTGCTCCAGTCTCCCAAACAATTACACCCAGGAGGTCAGGTTGATGTTCTCTCTCCCTTCTCTTGCAGGGACAGCGATGGACGGCTGCTGCTCTCTTGACATTGGACGTCAGGGAGGGACTCCATGATGGACACAGGAACGGGTGAGTAGACCTAACTAAAAACCCTCCCTATCCCTCTTTGCGTCGTCTCTGCCTGGATGTTAGACCCTATCTACGCGGATTCAATCCGTGCGTGGGAGTGTGCTCCCCAACCCAAACTAATAGAGGAAATGGCTAAAGGTCACCAGCTTCTTTTCCCAAGTCCAAGATGGCCACCTGACAGATAACCCAAAAGGTACATGCCTTTCTTCCCTTCTTTTAGGAAAATTTGGCAGGGGCAACCAGCATTTTACACACCCGGAGACTGGATTTGACCAATCAGGGAACGTTGCGGGGCAGGGTGACCCACGCAGAAGGGGGTTGTATATCCCCTCTGAGAACTCCTCCCTGTGTCCTCTACCAATTGAAGTGGGCGTCAGCCCCGTAGGACCACCCCGAGAGGGGATTTGACCAAAGAAGGGAAGTGCTGCAGTGGAGTGACCTGCCCGCAACAGGATCCCGTGGTCCCTCTAAAACGTCCCCACACCACCCTCTAGCAGTTGGCGAGGGTTTCACTCCCACCTTAGGCCATCTCAGAAGGGAAATGTGTACCAATCCAGAACAGGTATAGCCCGAAGGTCTAGGCCACGGTTTCTTCAAAAGACATCCTTGGAACGAGACGGGCTCTTCCCCGCAGTGTTGTGTTGCGACTTCCAGGACGATGCTGCCAGCCTCGCAAACATGGAGCTCCAGAGATCGGCGGCTTCTGGCCTAGACCTTCGGGCACTGCCTAGTCTGATTGTTACGTTTCCCTTCTGGGATGGCCTAAAGCGTGTGTGCAAAACCCTGACTGATTAGCAGAGGACGGTGCGGGGATTTCATGGAGGGGTGATGGACCCCTCTTGCGGGCAGGTCACCCCACCATGGCACTTACCCTGTTTGGTGAAATCCCCTCTCTGGTGGGTCCTAAGGGGCTGAGGCCCACCCCAAGTGGGAGGAGCTCTTGGAGGGTCACGTGACCCACTTCCGGATGGGTCACTCTGCCCCAGAACATTCCCCAATTGCTCAAATCCATTCCTGAGGCAGGTGCATGGAGATAAAACACCCCCAGATTGGTAAAGGAGTGGGAGGATCTCTTAGAGGGGTCACATGCCACTCCTTGTTTCGACTCCCGTTTGCATCTTGACCCCAAAAGTCTTCTGTCATGGGGTCGGTCTCATGGTGACAGATGAGCGATGTCTGAGGAGTGAAGGGGCGAGGTCCCATGGCTGACATCAAATAACTTCCCTAAGCCTCAGGGTAGTTTGGCCAAATGCCCATTGTCAAAATGGCTGCCCTCCCACGCAGTGTGTGTGTCCCAACACCCAGAGTCCGTGCGGCCGCCCTCTCCGTCGGGGCTGTGTGGCCCAGCGACCAGAGTCCGTGCGGCCGCCCTCTCCGTCGGGGCTGTGTGGCCCAGCGACCAGAGTCCGTGCGGCCGCCCTCTCCGTCGGGGCTGTGTGGCCCAGCGACCAGAGTCCGTGCGGCCGCCCGCTCCGTCGGGGCTGTGTGGCCCAGCGACCAGAGTCCGTGCGGCCGCCCGCTCCGTCGGGCGTGTGGCCCAGCGACCACCGGGCGCCCCCGCCAACAGTCGCGTGCCCGCGCCAGAGTGTGGCCGCCCGCTCCGTCGGGGCTGTGTGGCCGCGACCAGGTCCGTGCGGCCGCCCCTCCGTCGGGGCTGTGTGGCCCAGCGACCAGAGTCCGTGCGGCCGCCCGCTCCGTCGGGCTGTGTGGCCCAGCGACCAGAGTCCGTGCGGCCGCCCGCTCCGTCGGGCGTGTGGCCCAGCGACCAGAGTCCGGCGGCCGCCCGCCCGCGGGGTGTGATTGCGTGGGGTGTGGGCTGTGTGGCCCAGCGACCAGAGTCCGTGCGGCCGCCTCTCCGTCGGGGCTGTGTGGCCCAGCGACCAGAGTCCGTGCGGCCGCCCGCTCCGTCGGGGCTGTGTGGCCCAGCGACCAGAGTCCGTGCGGCCGCCCTCTCCGTCGGGGCTGTGTGGCCCAGCGACCAGAGTCCGTGCGGCCGCCCTCTCCGTCGGGGCTGTGTGGCCCAGCGACCAGAGTCCGTGCAGCTGCCCTCTCCGTCGGGGCTGTGTGGCTCAACGCTTAGAGTCCATATGTCTATCCTGTCTCTTACGCCCGTGTGGCCCGATAGCAACGGACAATATGGTTACTCTCTCCCTCAATGCTGTGTGGCCCAACGGCCGGAGTCAGTGTAGCTGCCCTTCACTGCAGGGCTGTTTGGCTGAGAGTTCAGAGGCAAGATGGTTGCCCCTCCTCTTGGGGCTGTGCAGTCTAGTGGGTCAATGGGGACGTGGGCAGCCACCAAAGGATGGATGGCAGCCAGGGCAGGTGGACCCAGGCCCTCGTTACTCCACCGGCTCCTCGCCCAGGGCCTCGTCCGTGGCCAATGTGTTTGCCATTGAGTCAGTGGGGATCCAGCACTGCGGATGACAATGGCTAGTTCACCCAGGTTACTTCCTTGGAGATGTCTCTAGGCCATGGGCTGGGGGTCTCTGGGTTCCCGGCGTGGGAAACTCCCAGAGTCTCCGATCTCCCTTGCATGTCTGCAGGCCCCCAGGGACGTGGCTGGGTCTCGGCGCCTCAGAGCTCTGCAGTCAGGGGCTTGAGCTGTTTCTGGTCTGGAGCCTACAGTGTGCATCCTCCATTTTCAGCGGTCTGCCTAGCGTGAGCTGAGCTGCTCCCTTACACTCTGGTGCTCCAGTTGGAGCATGTCCGGCAGGGCTGGGGAGGGGCTTGGCTTTCTCCACCTAGACTATGGGGTTCTGTGTGGCTGGTTCAGCCCGGCACATGCTGCTCGGCCTCTTCTGTCTCCTCCTTCCCATGCAAAGCTGCTTTGCCATCTCACAAGAGATGGGATCAGTGGTGGGCTCAATTGGCTCCTGTTGGCCTCTCGATGTCTGGAAGAGAGAGAAAGGGCAGGAACCCAAATGAGAAGAACAAAACCTTCAAGCAGGGTAGTTTTCCACAGCACAACCCCACCCTACTTTGCTGATGCTCATTGGCAACTTCCCTGAGAGCTGGCATTTCTTAAAGAGAGCACCCAACCCCCCGCAACCTCTGCTACCCTTTGGGCTGGCAATGGTAAAAGGGAGTCTGGGAGAATTTTTCCTCTCTCCACCTGGCTCTGATGAGTGAGGGAACCACATGCGAGAAGCTGTGTGAATGTAGGGCTCTGTGCAGTGGGATGAGATGTCCTCCATGGTGCCCAAAGGTGGGGTTGTCCTGCCTTTGCAGTGACTTCCTTCTAGTGAGAGAGATTTCAGAGATCAGCTCCGGGGTTCTGCCCTGTACCAGTGTGTGGGAATGGGGCAGAAGTGGGGCAATGGTGCACTCAGGAAAGGAGTAGGGCTAAGGGGGGCCCAGGCTGCAGCCACTAAACCCCTGCGTGCTGCGTTGCGGCCGGGCCGGCTCTGCCTCGCTGGGGTGGGGGTGAGGAGGCTCCTCACGCTGCCGTTCCTCATCCCCGCCAGCCACGTCACCACGACGAGCACCACACCGGGAACCTCTGTCCCGGGGGCTGATCTTGCCTGTAGGCTCTGCCTCCCCGCAGCTCCCATTGGCCGGGGATCGTTAATCCGGCCCTTGCCCTATTCCCCAGCCTGTTCCAATCCTGCTCTTGACTCCTGACTCCGGCTCCAACCCTTGGCTCCCCTCGGCTCGGCCTCCACCACTCTGAGCACGAGGCCCCAGCGCCACTGCTCCAACCACTGGGCCCAACCAGCCGTGCTTTGGCCTCTGACACCAGCGATATGGAGGAGTCGTTCACCTCACTGCTTTCCATGTGTATGGCCCTGCCTTGGTCAGCGCTGGTTTTCATCTGCCATGGTGCTGCCCAGTGACATGGCTTTCTTTGATCCCTTTCAACTTCTTCCAAGTCTTCTCTAGGCCCGACTAATCGACATAATTTTGGGTCATCTGCTGATATCCACCTCGTTGTTCAGCCCCGGTTCCAAACATAAGGACATAAGAAAGGCCACAGCAAAGGTCCATCTAGCCCAGTATCCTGTCTTCTGACAGTGGCCAATGCCAGGTGCCCCAGAGGGAATGAAGGGACAGGCAATCATCTAGTCATCAGTCCCCTGTCCCGCATTCCCAGCTTCTGGCAAACAGAGGCCAGGGACACCAAAAAGTTGAGAAGCGTCTGTTGTATTTACCATAGCAGGACAAAGAGCTCGTCTGTGTCGGTCCCGGTTCCCTAGTCAAATGCAGAACCCGACACGAGATTTCCAAGCTTCTGCAACCATTTATAATATCTGTTGAGGATGTACCACGTGGTCCTGTCTGATTTCAAAGGCACTTCGTGAAAAGCTGAAACCAAGAGGAAATGGGTTGAAAACCCCGTGATGCTGATGTGACTGGTACCTAGGAAACCTCCACTTCCGATGGCCATTGCCCCCTGCTATTAGCTCCCCAAGAGTCTAAGGGCACAAGAACAACAACTCCGCTCCTCCCAAAATAGCCCTGGACAGAGAGGAGACCCCATTCTTGCCTAACTTCCCCCTCTGCTGGCAGACACTCCTCCACACACCCGCACACACAGACGGTTGGGGGCACTTGTTCTTTGGATGGAACAGGAAAGTGACAGCGGCAGCCACATTAAACCATACAACATTTAGGCCGAGATCCACAAAGGGATTTCGGCTCCTAACGTCTCCTGAAATCCTTTGTGGCCCTGTGCCTTCATTCCTGAAGAGCTCACAGGGAAAAGTGTTACCCATGTGCCCTCATGGGATTTCCTAGGAGCTGATAACCAATCTCGGAGTGAAGGTCCCTGGCCTGCAATCACTCCATTCCAGGGAGGGCAGGTGATGAATCTTTCCCTACAGAGGGGAATCGTCATCATCATCATCATCATCCTTAATACCAACAGCCCTTTTCAGTTGGGTCAGGCCTTCCTTTAGAGACTTTCTGACCTTGATGAAGACAGTCTCCCCACACAGCTCTAAGGCTATGTCTACACTAGGAGCTCGGGATGGAATTCCCCTGCTCCCATGCACAGATTGTGGGACCACGATGAAAGCTCACGTGACCATCCTTCTTCCTTCAACGCTGTCCTTAGACTGAGAGGGACACATTCAAAGCTGTGTTCAGGCCCTGTGCTGCACCCCTGTGCTTCCCACAGAGGGCCAAACACACAGAGGTATTTCCTTACCTTCATACAGGCGGGAGATGCCATCTTCATTCACTGTTTCAGACAACAAATCACAGTAATGGTGGATAGTATTTCCTAGACAAACAATGAATACAATGGCTCTCATGGCTTTTCACATCCTTTCCTGAAAACTGCTCATGATGCAGCCATTCTCCCAAGACACCTTTGGGAAATTCCAGACATTCCTTACATCTGTTCACAAAGCATATTCCAGAAAGCATCAGAGGCCCAGAAGTTACTGAGAGGCTGATTTCCAAAGGAGATTGAATTCACATCCTGCTGGTTTCCCCTAGGCGCAGCCAAAGAATTGTTGTGGGCGGGGGAAGTTGGTGCAGTCGATTCAGCTAAGTTGCTCCCTTCATCTTGGAATACATGTTTATTCACACACACATACACACACACACACCCCGTTTTAGGATTCTGGTGCTGTTGGAGGGAACAGAGCAGCCGTCCAGAAAAGGGCTCTGAAGGAAGCATTGAGAAAAGATCAAGTGAATTTGCTCTGCTTACCAATGAATCGGGCTGCTGAATGTCTTATTGTTGTCTGTGAGCTTTCCAGGTACTGTAAGGCCTGGAACAGGAATTTGGGGATGTGGCTCTCGTTGTTCTGCATCTAGGAAGAAAGAAGGAAGAAATGCACAATATACAAATGACATGTTCTTCCCACAGCAAATAGTCCAGGAAAGCCAATGCATATAGCCAGGCCCTGGCAACCGCCAATATGAACCCATACACCAGAGCAGCACCCCTCTGAAGTTCCTATTGTGTTCTCCAGAACCTCAGCTTTCATTTGAAAAGACAAAAGTTTGAAGGTCGGAGAATTGTGGAGAAAAATGTCAACAATGTGAACGGATTGTAACTCCTGCTGAAATGAGCCAGCAGAGAGCCTGGAACGGAGTCCTGCAGCCCGACCGAAGCGGATGGGTACTCAGGGTGTGGAGTTAGAAAGGTCTTCCTCAAGTCCCCATTCACCACTCTCAAGGCACAAGGAATTCACCTACCAAGCAGATCCAGACACACTTCAAGAGCTGTGAGGAGCCATCCCAGGCCAAGCTGTGGGAGAGGGTCTTCAAATGAGCCCACCTGAGGAACACTGCGCAGCGGAAGAGCGTCAGTTTACATGACTGCAAGAGAAGAGGAGACCAAGAGGGTTCTCCCTGAGAGAGGGATAGTCTGGGGGACATGGAACCTTCCCCGTCCCTTGTTCTCCTGCTTTTCCTGCCAGTGGAGATTCCTGTCATTTGTTCTCCACAGGAGTGTGCTGAGGAGAGGAAAGGGAGAGTTGGCTGGAGAGAGCCAGAGCCGTCCTGTCCTTTGGATGGTTTGGGGTGGTTGCCCAGGGCCCCGTGCTTTGGGGGGCCCTGCACTTCAGGGGGACGCAGGCCCTGGGCCGTGCCGGGGCCAGCAGCAGGACTCCCGGATCCGCTACGCTATGCCCCACCTCTTTCCCAGAAGAAGGCTTTTCTTCCCAATTGTGCTGTGTGCTGTGAGGATGGATGAGGCACTTGGCTCCAGCATGGAGTGAAGCAGGGAGGAGAAGACTCTGCTTGGGCAAGGGGCTCTGGCGATGACTGGAGTGGGGGCCCCAGGAGATACTGGCTCTTTGCTCTTCAGGCAATAATGACCGTGGCACTTACCAGTTTCACACTCTCCTCCTGGTCTTCAAGATGCAGCAGCAGGGGGAGCAAGCAGTGGATGATTTCCTGCTGCACGAAGGGTTTGTCGGGGTCCTGCACCCTGCTCACCACGTTGCCAAGCAGTACAATGGCAGCTGAGCGCACACTGCCCTTCTCCTGGCAATGACACACAGGGGGTGGGGACCCCCGGTTAAAGCCAGGCAGCATCAGAGCAGAACGCCACTGAGTGGTGATGCACACGCTGCTCCGGTCCCCCTGTGTGAACTACCTGGGCTGGCGGGAGCAGGGAGGCCACCAGGCCAGCGCCATGGACATCTTGTGCAGGGCCTGAGACCCTGTGCGGGACAGTGCAGCCCAGGGTGTCCCAGAGGCAGTTTCTGTCTGGAGAGCACAGAATCCTAGAACCCGAGAAGATGAGGGGAGAGGGCAGGCAGGCTGCTGGAGACTGGTGTGGGGAAGGGGAGAAGCAGCTGCTGGAGCCTGGCAGGGACTGGCTGCTCCAAAAGACAGCATTTCTTTGGCTCTTGGGTGCCCCTGAGAGCCGGGCCATTCCCGACCCACCTCTTTCCTGCTGAGAATCTCCACCTCTTTGGGGGCCTGTGTTCTCCAGGCAGCTGGTCATCTGCCCAGTGCCAGGCCCCCTCTCCCCCAGGCCAGGCTGCAGCAGGGGCTGGGAGCATGGCACTGAGGCTGAGCTTTGGAGAGAAGAGCTCTGACAGGGAGGTGGCTCAGCAGGAGATTCCCCACCCATGGCGGGGGCACTCCTTGGAGGCTCCATGGCAGGCCTGAGGGGCGGGAGGAAGGGGATGGGGAGAGAGAGACAAGGGCATCACAGACAGCTGGAGCGGGGGAATGGGCTTCTTCTGCGGGTTCCAAGCCTTACGTCATCAATGAAGGGGCGAAGGCTGACAGCAATGTCCTGGGAGATGGAGCCAAGCCCCTCCCTGTTGAGGAGGTGGATGATGTCTGCAGCTTTATGCATGGCCTCCATGACACGCCTTCCATCCCTGTCACAAAACATGGCCAGGATTGCTGGCAGCTGGGCCCGTAAGAATTGCACCTGCCGGAATGAAGAAGGCAGCTCGTTACTATCCCAGGTGACAACCTGGAGCACATGCTGGACCACTGCCACCGACGAGAAACCACGGAGGGCACAGCCCCCCAACGGGGCAGAAAGTCATTCTCCTGTCACTCTGTGCCAGTTGCTCACTGTCACCTTTGTCTTTGCTCACCCCGCCTCCCCCATTGCATCCCATCTGCAATCAGGGCTCAGCTCACGGGAGCAGGGAGCATGGCATGCCTTGATTTGCTCCGAAAGCACCTCCACCATTTGAGGGCTGTGTTTTAAACAAGAAGGCTTGTGTGTGGCTCTCCCTCTCATTTCTGAGCTATTTGATGGACATTGGCTTCCTGGGTCCCCTGGGCAATCCCCGGCTCTCACCTTTTCTGGCTGGAACACAATACTGCCAAGGCCTCGCAGACTGAGCCTCCGTATGATGGAATTTGCATCTTTGGTCCAGTCCATGAGCTGTGCCTGGAGGGCTGATCTTGTCAGGATGGTGTCAATGGAAGGACTCTGGAGAAACTGGCAAGAGCCAAATGAAGATCAGGTTGAGGAGCAGAGGTCTTATTGTGGGGTCTGTTCCCTGGACAGTCGTCTTTACCAAAGGGCCACTTCCTCCTATGCAAAGTCTCTGGTGAGTAGGGAGCCAATTGCTGCTATTTCAGTTGGTTCCTTCCCCAAATTTAGACGAATGCACAAGTCACAAATAAGCCCCCAGGGAAAGGGGAATCTCCAGACCTCATTGAGTGCCATGGAGAGAGCCATGGGGCAGAAGAAAAGCAGAAACCCATGAAAAGGTGAGGAGAGAAGCATGGCCTTGGGGCACTGGAGAAACATGGATGAGGGTGGATGGATGATGAGGGTGGATGAAATGAGTGGAAACAAGGGTGGATGAAATAGAAGATGATTTGGTAGGATGAAATAGAGAGATGAGGAAAAAAGAAAAGGTGAGAAACATGGATGAAATAGAGATGATGAGGGTGGATGAAATAGAGAGACAAGGTGAGTGAGACAATATCTTCAATTAGATTATCACACCCACCTTGTCGCTCCAATATCTTGGACCAACATGGCTACAACAGCACTGCATAGAACGGTAGATGAAACAGACAGGAAATGATTTTATATCTATCTAGTTATGCAATGCAAAGCAATGACCCTCAAGCCTCCTTATTAATTTTCAACCATTGACAGTTGGCTTGGTACCGACCAGAGACAACATATGGTAGCCCCTGCTCTGAGGAGCTTATGATCTAAAAGAGAGACACAGAGTTGACAGGATGTTTTGGGAAATCACAAGGAGGGAGTATCTTGTTGTGCAGGTGTTTTATTTTTTATCTCCTTCTCCTCCTCCCCAGGAAACAGAGGATGCTTTTCATCAGAGGCAGTTCCCTACAAATCTTGTTGCCTGGGTCACCATGTGTATAAACCCAGAACTTGTGTGCATATTTATTATCTAACAAATCACTATTTAGACCAGGAAACCCCACTGGCAGCAAATTCCTCCTGCAGTTCACACATGCACACACAGAGACAGTTACCTTCATGAGCGGCACCTCATGACGTGCAAAACATCCATTTCCTCCTTATATTGCTCAAGGAGCCATGAGATCTCTTTAAATATCGGATTTTGCGGCTCCTGGTAAAGAACCAGGACTCGTAGGGTTGGTGTCAGGATTATATTCTAATGCACCTCACAAGTAGACCAGGTAAAATATTTCCCCAGATTAGTATGCATTCGAGGCCAACTCATCCCTGCTGTAACTCCACTGGGGCTGAATGGACTTAGACCAGGAATTAATTTAGCCCACTATCCCGGGTTCATCTGCACATTAGGTGCACAAAACTAGAATCCATGTACACTGGGTACAGACCGAATTTCCATGATGTGGTGACATTATAAACGTATGGGTTTTCGATGTTTTACATGACAATCTGTTCCATCCAAAAGGACCTACCATTAAATGCCATCATCACAAAGAGTGCCAGACGCACAGAATGTAACATCACAATTTCCGCTAAAGGTTTAGAAAGCCAGCAATTCTCACCTCCAGCTCCTCACAGATCAGCCAGTTGCTGGTCACATGACAATATAAGGGAAGAATTGTATTGCAGAATTGTGATTCACCCATTCTGGGGAATGGGCACTTTCCCCAGTTCGTAAAATATCCATTTACTGCCCTTGAGCATTTTTCCAGAACTGCAAGGAAGGAGAGAAGACAGGCAATGTGAAAAGGACACAGTAGTAATGAGGAGAAGTTGCTTTCTCAGAGAAGACACCCAGGCCTATTGTTTACTCCAATTCCATGGCAGCTACTGCTCAGTGCAGGACTAGATGCTGAAATCCCATATCAATTTGGAGCTATTTCTCTTTCCCCCATTCCATTTCTTGTTTCTTAACAGGCCTTTTTCTTTGTACATCTCTCCATCTTTTTTCAGTTACCATCATTTGAAGACTCGCGTCCTCTGCAGTTATTATTTATTCAACCCGAACGCTGTATGATTTCATCTTGAGTTACAGTTTGTCTGAAAGATGTTTAGTGCCCCTAACTGCCATTGGCTTTCCTGGGATTTGAAGGTAGTGGGGAGCACTTTGCCCTAAAAGTAGGTGTATCTAGTGTCCTTGCTAAGACGAATTAGGGCCCAATCCTGTTCTCCATGAAGTGGATGGCAAAATTCCCATTTCCCTCAAGGGCACAGGATTAACCCCTTACTGAGCATCACCTGAAAAGCAAAGGAAGAGAGAAGTGAAGAAGAAGAGAAGACAGAGAAAGAGGGTGAAAGGAGATGATGATGATGAAGAAACTAAGGAGAGAGAATGGGTGGAGGAGTGGGAAACAGGGGATTTTTAAATGTACAGTAATGAAATCTGCTCCCTTCACCTCCTCCCCCAGGAGCCTCCTGGCAGAGGGGCAGCTTCAGCCTTTGTGTCTGTTTATTTTAAACGATATGCGTGAGTCATAAAGGGCCTGAACTTACAAATGCTCAGCATCTCCTGCAAAGTAAGGAGCACTCTCAACTTCACTGAGTGCCACGGGGGCCAAGGAACGCAGCACCTGGTGCAATCCAGGGAAGGGAGCACAGTTCAGGGCCTGTTTGCAAACTTGGTCAGTCACTTAAATCTGCACCAAGACCCCCTAAATATCCATTTGGGGCACCTACAGGAAGTGCTGGCACTTACCACCACAAAATGCTTGTCTCATCCTGCTGTCCTTGACTAACTCCAGCATGGAGATCATGACGTTCAGGATCATTCCCACAAAAGGGATACACTCAAGAGCTGCAGAGAAAGGCCAGAAGAGAAGGAAGACAGACAATCAGCTGCTCTCTGCCTTCTGACAACACACTTAGAAACACCGTGGGGCAGGATGCTATGGGTTCCGAGGCCATTGGTGCTGCGTAAGCAGAGCAGAATGGCTTTAAAGCAGCCATTGAAAGCCAGTGGGGGGTTCACCCTGAAGAGGGGAATCCTCCACAAGTGTACAGCTGGGCCCCATGCCCAACTCACTCCCAGAGTAAGGGGAGAGAGCACTGGGGCGGGATGGGAAGTGGGGTGGAGAAGAGCTCCACTAGACCTGATCTTCCACTCATTCCCATCCTTAAGGTACTTCACTCAGGGGCATAAGTTAGAGCTTGCACCTCCGGCTGGATGGCTCATGGTCTGGAGGCCAGAACTAGCAACAGCAGTTAATCTTGTGTTTCTACACACACACACACACACACACACACACTCAAACAGAGCTCTGTTTAGCGGTAACATTTTTAGGTAGAGAGACAATCCCCTGTCCTTAAATGAAAAACAATAACCTTGAAAGAAAAGAGGGAAGTGACCGTACCATAGGCGGATGACAGGTTGCCCAACGTAATGAAAATAAACTCTTCAGGCAGCTCCAGACAATACAGCAGCTCGCACATGACATCATTGAAATAGCAGCGTGCCAGAGTCACTAAGGTGTTGCTAGCTGCCACTTTTAGTTCATTTGTTGCTTCCTAAAAACAAAAACCAAAAGAGAGAGACTGAGGTGACTGAAGCCGGTTGCACTAGCCAGAGTTCTTTACATGAGTCAAGTCCTTATTTCTGTGCACAAGTTGTGAATGAACCAACCCAACTTTCTGAGGGTAGAGTCATTCGTCATAAATATTCCTCGAGTCACTTGGCTAAACAGTTTTCGGCCTTTGAGTTGCTTGCAAGCTGCTTCGTTAGCCTATTCACTGTTAGCTACTTGTGGTGGGTGACTGGTCACCACAGTCACATGATATTTTCCCTGCCCTTCCCTGAGGCGGTAAGTGAGACACAGACTGGGCAGCTTCAAGATATTCCGAGAGCTTTCCTGGAATAAACTGTCCCCAAAAAGGAGGCTGACTTCCTTTGGAACAAGAGAGGGATTTTTCCAGCAGGGGTTTTCCTGCTGGCAAACTATATTCTAAATCCAATGCTGCTTCTTTTGGAGATAGCTCAGATTCTGTCTGTCTTGGGGCTTTATACTGCCACTTATCACTGCAGTATCAGAGTGCCTTCCACATAAAATCAGTATCAATAATGAAATCCCGAGTAGACTTCGGGAAAGACTTGCTCCTTAAGACACCATAGGCCTGTCTCTGGGTCTGAGATCATGTGTCTCAGGTCCTGATCCTGCAAAGCACTTAAGCACATGTGTAACTGTCAGCATGTGAGTTGTCCCATCTTATGCATGTGCACAAGTGCTGTCTAGGACCTGGGCTTTGGTCTGGAGGAAGGTGTGGACCTCTAACAGAAGAATACATTTTCATTTTAGTATATAGTTTATCCCCCAAAAAGAGAGTTTGAATGAGTTAAAGCTTTGGATCCTTGGACTGATATCTCGGGAGAACTAACTTACCTGAGTGTCTCTCATGTGGTTGGAGGCTAGTGTTATTATTTTCTCCAGAAGCCTTCTCTCCAGGCCCTGGGTGTCCTGCTGTAAGACTTTCTCCAGGGCACAGTAAATGTCTACTCTGCTTTGCTGGGGACAAAACATAAAGGAGAAGAATTGGGAAAAGTTTTTCTTGCCGACCATACAGTAATTTGGCTAATAAGCCCCTGCCCTAATTGGCAGCTTAATTGGCATAAAACGTGCCCTGCCCTCCACACGCACCGCATTCAGCAGCGCTTCAGAAGCAGCCGAGCAAGTGACATCGTTTAATCTTCCTGGAGAGACAAGAGCCAGAGGAAGCGCCCTTCACTGCCCCCTTATCCAGTTTCATTTATTCAGCACAAACAATAAAAATGAGCACCTTGCCCTTGCTCTAGCCGCTCCAGGCAGAATTTGTAAATGTGGAATAGAAAATACCCAACTCCTGCAGTAAGTCCTCAGCAGCTCCCCGGGGCAATGAGCTCAGCCGTGAGGTCCACACGGACAGTAGCATGCGCGAAGGTGTCTTTTATGCGGCCCATCAGTGTAGAACTTCACAGATGAGACTAACTATGGAGGAGTTGTAGGATCAGTTGGGACCAAGAAAAAATAAAGCGGGACACAGAGAAATGAAAAGCCTGAGGAGAGAACAAGATTCATTTCAGAAAACTGCAAACTAGCACCTCTGGAGAGGACATAGAAGTAACTGACATAGTGGGAGGGAGAAAAGTGGGAAGCA